TCACGGCAGCCGCGGCCTCCGACCTGTGCCTCTCGCTTGGCGGAGAACCCGGGTGGGCGGGAGCAGGAGGGTAGGATCCTGTAGGTCCCTGCTTTGTCCTTTGCAATCCAACGAGCTCCTATAGAGGCGGTGGGCACTGCCTGCTCTGTACCCTCTGTGGGCTCCCCATCGCTAAGTGTGCGAGCTCTTGGACCACCCCTCCCGCCTCTCGAGGCTCAGGTCTCTGCAGCTCTCCCTCCCTCCAGTTCACCTACTTCCATCGCACCAGCCCTGTGTCCCCTGCAAGCTTGGCCACAGCAAACATTACATCCTCTCCCCTTTCAAGTGCCTTGGCTTCTGAGGTTTGTTCTGCTAGAAATTCCCTTTCTGCTGCCCGGTAAAGTAGCTCATCCTTGAAAACCCATTCCTCCACTGCTTTCTCCAGGAAGCCTTCCTTCCTCCGGGATTGCTCCATCCTTCCTGCTGCTCCCACTCCTGGCTTTGAGCCCTAGGGGTTGCTGGTGGTGCAACTGGGAGCAAGGCTCCTGGTCCCCCTACCCTGGGCCAAACTCCTAAGGCCAGAGCTACCACAGCTCTGTCTCTGTTGCCCGCTGGCCAAGCTGGTCGGCTCAGGGCCCAGTGACAATAGTCTGCAGTCCCACTGCTCTGATTCCTGGGCGTGCTGGGACTCAACCCCCAGCTGGCTCAGCCCCAGAGGAGGTCACAGGTGCACGGCACTTAGACTCCCTTGTCCCTGGCTTCCCTGCAGAAAAGGATGATGCCAACACCATGGGAAAAGCTCTTGCAATCCTTTTTGAAGGGGTTGAGCTCTGGCAGAGGAGACAGAGGAGGGGGCCTGGCCCGGGGCTGGGGTAGCACAGGGAGGACGCCTGGAGAATTTGATGCGGTGATAGGAGCCACCACAAGCTACAGGGGAGGCCCCTGCATGGAGGCAGTCTTGGGGCCAGCCCCTGGGTGGGAGGGCAGGTCAATGGTGATAAGGCTGCTGCTGTGGGCAGGGGCAAGGCCCCAGTGGGTAAAGTCCTGGGGAGTCAACTGCCTGCAGCTTGGCCTGTATGGCCCTGGATGAGTCACAGGGTCTTTGGGCAAGTGCTGGGAGAAGAGGGGCCAGGCCCTAATGAGCTGGTCCTCTGGGCCCTACCTGGTGGCTGGGCAGGTTGACCTCAAGGTGACAACTCAGGGAGTCTGTCCACCCGCCCCCCCATCTCCACCCCAACGGTCAGTTCCTCGAATCAGCAAGCAGCATGACTGTTGGGTAGATTGGCAGCTAGTCCTCTCCCATGGGTGGCACGGCTAGGTAAGAATGTCCTACACTGCCCACAAGGCCCCTCCCACCCTGTCCCAGACCAGGAAGTCTCAGGTTGCCACCCCAGCCACCCTAGAGAGAGGGCACTGAAGGGGAAGTTAAGGGAGACCCCTGGCCAAGGAAAGCCAGACATGATAGGTCAGTAGCAGGACAGCTCACTGGGCAAGGGACAGTGGCCAAGATATAGTGTGATTCGGAAGAACAAACAGCATCCCTACATAGCAAGGGGGTGGGCAGGTGGGGGGCTTCAGCCTGGGCCCTCTGCAACCACAGCCCACAGAAGGGTCAACTGGTCAGAAGGCGGGTTGGGGGTACCCAGAGGGTCAGAAGGCCAGGCTGTGGACACTGAGTTCCAGAGGAAGGCCTGATCAGGCCCCCAGGGAGGCAGGGGTCTCGTGATCACTGGGGTGGCAGCTCTATATGGCGCAGAAGGGGCCAGTGTCATGGCGCTTGGGTCTTCGCACGCCTTGGATGAGCACTCCAGGCACTGAGGGGAAGCGTGAGTTGTAGTAGTCCTCCACATGGTAGGCAGCCGGGCCGGGGGTGCACGCTGCAGAGAGCGACAGTGGGAGCCTGCCGTGCCACGGGTCCCCGCCTCCCCCAGGGCCCAGCCCGACCCCATCGAACCCCAGCCCCCTGCCTCCTTACAGGAGCTGACCCAGGAGGCAAGCAGCGGTGAACGGCTCATGGAGAAGGTGGGCGGGCATGGACTCTTCAGGCGGCACCCGGACAGGATGTCATAGGTGTTGGGGCTGGGGCCGGTCTTGCCAGCCGGGGCTGGCAGAAGGGCCTGAAGCGGGGGCTGGGGCAGCATCCTCAGGTGGGCTCGGGCCTCGGGTGTCCTTGAGGCAGGGCGGCCCCCAAAGCTGGAGGCCCGGCAGGCGTGCAGGCTGGGCTGCTGGTAGTCAGCGGGCGATGGCCACTGCAGGGAAAAGTTGCTGCAGGCCCGCCCTCAGAGGACCTGCCCCTGCCGCCCTAGGACCTGCCAGGCCAGCCCCCAACCTTTTCCTCTCGGTTAAAGTCGGCTTTCAGCGTGAAGGGGCTTTCCTCTGGAACCACACCGTCTGCCACGCCCTGCGGCCGCCGCCTTCTGCAGAGGGGACGGCATCACTAGGGGAGGCTGGTGGCAGGGGTGCCACCCCCTGGGCGAGGGGTCAGGGCGGGGTGTGGGGGAGGGCGCCTGGAGTGGACACGCACCGTGAGTAGGGTGCTTGCGGCCGATGCTGAAATGGGGGTGTGGGGAGGACTCTCGGATTGAAGCATCTGGCACCTGGTACTTGGTGGGGCCAGGGACGTCCAGGTCAATCATGATGGGGGGGCGTCGCTCCAGCACTGGCAGGAAGCAAGCTCTGTGCCTGGGTCCTCCTAGGGAGCAGCCCCCCAGCCCTGCCTACCCTTGCCTGCCTCCCCAGACCAGTCGGGGGTTGGGGGTTGGGGGAGCAGGAACCCTCACTCACACAGCTCCCTCAGGCTCTGGGTGCAGATGGGATCCTGGAGGGGGCCTATTTGCATCCTGAGGCCTGCCGGGAATTCCTGTATCCCTAGGGGACGCATCTCATCCAAGGTGGCCCCTGGCTCCTGCTCCAGGCCCGACAAGAGCACAGCAGCATTGGGTCTGCAAGAGAGACAGCTAGCCACCATCCACCCAGCCTGATGGCCACCCTATTCGGGCTGACCCCCCAGCCCACCAAGCACCCTGGGAAGTTACGGGGAAGGCACAAGGGGCTTCTGCCTCAGGGGGCCATGGGTCCAGTGTTTGCCTCCATTGATGTAAAAATTTGCCAGGAATTTCACAGACTTCTGGTCAAAATTCATTGTCAGGGTCTCTGGCTCCCTTCCCCAGAAATGTCACATGGCTCTGTGACCTCATTGGCTGGTCCTGCCAACCCCCTGTTGCCTGGGGGAGCAGCATTGTCCAGCCCTGGCGGGGCCCCTCCCCTGACCTCCCAGGTGGGTTGCCCTGGGATAAGCCTTGCCAGAGGCTCCCCAACATGACCCTGTGACCCCTGGCTTGGCCTCCTTTCTTCCCCTCCCCCATTCTTGTCCTCGCCCTTCCCCATTCCTGGACTGGGTCTCCTCGGGGGCTGGGGTCCACTCTCATAGGGCTTCTGGGAGGACTGAGGCCCTGGCAGGGGGTGGAGAAGGCAGCAGGTGCTGTGGGATGCCTAGCCATGCAAGGCCAGCGGAAAGTGGGAGAGGGGTTGGTGGAGCAGTCCCTGGAGACTCCCCAGAGGAGGAGGAGCCCCCGCTGGAAACCCAGCCCTGGAAAAAGCAAACCAACAGAGGGTGGGTCTGAGTGGACTGAGCTGACCCCAGAGGCAGCCCAGGCATGGCTGAGGTGTGGCGGCCTGTCTTCTCAGGGGCACAGAGGCTGGGAGGCATCATCAACAGTTGGGGCTGCTCAGGCTGAAATGCAAAGGAATAATGAGGCTGAGCGAGTGAGAGTCCACCTGCGCACCGGGGCCCTTGTGGTGCCCTCCAGAACTGACCAGCCTACCAGCCCCAGCCCCGGCCTTGGCCAGACCCTCCCAGGCAGGGCCCGGCCGAGAACGTCTCATCCTTCGCACCCCTGTCTCTCCTCCAGACCCTTGCATCCACACTGAACCTGTCTGGCCTCAGGATGGACAGACTGATAGAGACTTGCTTGAGGAAACACACATTTTATCAGGGTGAGGGGCTCCCAGCCTGTCACTGGACATGAGTAGCTGGATTTCTCCCTAGATGACACGCACGTCCGTCTCCAGCTAAACGTGGATCATCTCCTCGGCTGGACACATTGAGTGGAAGCAGTGGATCAAAGCACGTGTGGTCTTGGATGCGCTTGACCCGAGTCCCAAATTACAGGTGGTTTTCACGCTGGCGCGGAGCGTCAGAAATCGCCCACATCCACACCTCATCAGTGTTCATTTGACTGAGGCTCAGCCTTCTGTCCGTATGTTCGCTGACGGGGCCCTTCCTTAAGACTTTCACGCTACGTGTGCATTTTCCTGTTGGGGTGTTAATTTTTCATGTGTTTGTTTTATAAGGTTGTTTCTACTGATATCATATCTGCACATAACATTTGTTGCAGACTTTTTGCCCAGGCCATCATCTGCCGTGCAGGGTGCTTTAAGCTGTGTTTTGACGTGTACTTGAACCTGCTGATCTTTTCCTTTATGACATTTTTCTTCGTTTTTATGGTCCTCCCTATACAAAAAAAAAAAAGGAGAAAGAAAGAAAGAGGGAGGGAGGCAGGGAAGGAGGAAGGAAGGAAGATGGAAAGAAAAATCGAGAGTTTGTTTAAAATGGAAAATAGAGCCCAGCTCCAGGGGAAAGACCTCCAGGACAGAGTCCCGGCAGCTCTCCAGCTCAGGAACCTCACTGCTGAGACTTGTGACAGTGCCTTCCAAGCTTCCAGGTTCTCTCATCTGAGGAGGGGCTTAGGGTGGGAGGAGGGCTGTTTTCCAGTCGGCTCTTGCCCTCCCATGGGTAGTAAGAGTCCAGAGCTCCAGGCCCAGCCCTGCCCCTGGCTTCCTTGCAGGGCCGACTCAGACACAACTACAGTTCTAATTTTCCAAGCTGTAGGTCCTCAGTGTGCCATGTCCCCAACCTGTGCCCTGTCTGGGCCTCAGTGTCCCAGCCGTGAAATGGGAGTGCTCACAGGGTTTAGGAAGGGGCCTGGCTCAGGTGCTGCCCAACAATGCGGGGCCTCTTCACAATGGTTGCCAGGCAACGGGGACTCCTCTCTGGGAGGAGCCAGCCGCACAGGCCCGGGCAGGAGAGGGGCTGGAGCCAGCCAAGGCAGAGCTGAGGCAAGATGACAGCCATGCAGAAACACAATCTCTTCTCACCAGAACCTCACTATATCCCTGGGTAAGCCCCAGAACGCTGGAGCAAGGCTGGGTCGCCAAGGATAGGGCAGCAGGGCTGGGGCCTGAAGGCTCAAGGCCGGCTGTGAGGGGAGCCCCAGAGCTGGTCTCCGGGGAGCTGAGACCAGAAGGTGGGGACCTTGAGCAGGAACCGGCCTGTGGACCTGGGAGGCCGGTGAGTTGGGGTGAGGCCGAGGCCAGGGCCTGGAGCAGGAGTGAAGGGCCCAGGCCTCCTCTCCTGCCCATACCAGGGAGCCAGGCTGTCCGTCAAGAGCAGAAACTGGGGACAGCCCGACAGCAGGAGTCTGGCTGTCAATGATGGGCTCTGGCATCGTGGAGGGCCCTGCATTTTAAAGACAAGATGAGCGCCCAGTAAACTGACGGCACAGGTGCCAGGCTGCGTCACTAGGTGTCCCTCACATCCAACATGGGCCTGGCCCACATCATGTGCCCGCCCTGGCACACACCCAGATCCATGTGAAAGGAAAAGGCCAGGAAGAAACTGGGCCCAACTCCTGGGGGAGGTGACACCGAAGAGCCTCTTACTTTCACATCTCAGCCTTGCTTGTCTCACAAACTGACAGACCTGCATTCACTTGAATCGTTTTTAAAAAGAAAACAATTCACACCCCATGGGTGTCACACAGTCCCCCACCCTCACTGGCCACCCCTCGGGCTTAGCCCTGATACTTAATGATACTCAACTTCCACCAGCAGCCCTCCCACCAGCCTCTGCCTCTGGGCCAAATGCCCTCCAGGCCTCCCTGGTGGGACCAGCATGTGTACAGTCAGCCCCATGAGCCTCAGCCCCAGACTCAGACCCTATCACCATCCCTACAATGCTTTGAGCGGGCAGAACAGCCCATCCTCTCATCTTTAAGCCCCTCGTTGTTGGAAGATGGCTGGGTGCTGGGGAGATGGCGCCCCAGTAGTGGTGATGACAGCTGGGCTCCCCTCCTGGGGGCCAGGCCCATTCCTGATGCTCAGCATGTGCTGCTGCTCAAGCCTCAGGAGCCCCAGGAGGCAAGTGCTACTGTGACCCCCATTCTGCAGGTGAGGTCAAGTATCTTGCTCTGGCCAGCACACTGGATCCAGGGACCTGCTCCCAGGGGCCCTGCTCCCCTTCTCCCTCCACAGCTACGCAGGCTTCTATCCGCAGCTGCGCTACCAGGTGGGGAATACCTACGGGCGCACCACGGCACAGCTGCTCACGGACCCCAGTGTGCGAAAGAGCCCCTGCTCCGTGCTGTCCCCCACAGCCAAGCCCAAGTTCATCGAGGACTTCAGCAAGTCCAAGCCGCCTTGGATGCCCTGCCGTGAACTGATCGAGCCCTATGTCCCCCACTACACCAGTAAGCCGCCTGCACCCGGGCCCTGCCCCTCTCGGGCCGCCCTCCTGCCCACTCGCTCACGGCGAACCTGTCCGTACAGGTCTGAAGCCCTACAAGAACTTTGAGATCCTGGGCCAGTTCTCACCCCATGAAGTGGATGCCCAGGGGTCACTGGGGGTAGAGAATGTATCCAGGCAAGTCCCACTGCCTGCAGGCATCATGCCTTACCCGCCCTACCCGCCGTGCCCGCCGGGCAGGAAGGGGGACTCCAGAGACTTTGGACACCCAGGCCTGCGGCTAGCACTGGGGGAAGAGGGCTGGAAGAGCACCACTCCTGCCCATGAGGCGCCCGGGCAGTACCAGGTAATTGGGAGGTGCACTGAGATGGAGCCTCACCCTAGCCAGGCCTAGGTGGGGCTGGGGCGGTGACCTGCCCCTCCCTATTCCAGCTCTACCACTGCAGGAGGGACGAGTATCCACCCCCAGCCCACCAGGAGACACTGGACGTGGGCAGGTTCCACAGGCTGCCCCAGCTGGACCACCCCAATCTGATCCAACGCAAGGCCATATCAGGTGGGTGCCAGGGGCCCAGGCAGGACCAGGAGAACAAGTGAGGAGGGCTGCTGGGAGGCCCTTCCAGCTCCCCAGGGGAGCTGCTGCGGCCCATTCCCTCAGTCAGCAACGTTCGGGAAGGGAAAGGGGTCCAGGCAGAGCTCCCTGACACCCCTGGAAGCAGGTGCGTGTGCCCAGGGGAAGACGGGCATCAGGGTGGAACCCTGAACACCTCCTCCCCCAGGATATGCTGGCTTCGTCCCGCAGTTTGCCTGGGTGACGGGGATGAATTACCGTGATGGAGTCACACAGGCTATGGACGAATTCGACAAGAACCAGGTAGGCTTGTGGACATCATCCCTGGGCCTGCTCCCCAGGGTTCAGCCCAGCTTGCATGGCAGTCTCCATGCCTCTGAGCGGGCAGGAACAGAGACAGAGCTCAGGAGGCTTTCCAGAGGAATCCCCTGGAAGGGTGGCTCTGCCAGGCCCAAAGAGACTGTCCTCCCCATCCTTCTGACCAGGCCCAACTCCTTACACCCACCAGAACACTACTCACTGGTTACCAGCTGGGGAAGGCAGCACACAGCAGCGCATGCCTCTTTCCCCAGTTCCTGTTCAGAAATCCCATCTGCGCCCTGGGGGAGAGGCTGCCCAGAATGCACTGGCCCAGCACCACGGTCTATAGCAGCAAAGGCCTCATACCTTTCTACATGGGGTTCATTCCATGTGAGTACAGTGGGCTTCTCACCCACCACCCAGACAAGGTCATGGTGATGGCCACTTGGGGGAGGGGTGGTGGCTGGGCCCCCTTACCTATGCTGCACCCCAGGTCCATGGCCAGCGAGGTGACCACAGTGTCCCCTTGGGGTAGGACTACTCCTGACACTGAGTCCTAGACAGAGGTCAGCCACCTCCAGACCGTGGGGACCCCCCAGGTTTACCGTGCACAGGCTGGGCCCGCCATCAGGAGGCAGGTGTGTGGGGCAGCTCCAAATCCCAAGGCACCTGCATGTTCGCAGGCTGTGCTAAGCCCTCTAGCAGCCACCCGCACGCTCCCCTGAGCACACTGTGGCCTGGCTCAGCTGCGGCCCCACCCCCCACAGCCATGCAGGACAACTACGCGCTGACATTTGGCAACAGCACCCGCAGGGCCTATCAGAAGGAGCTGGAGAGGCAACGCCAGACACTATGAAAACGCTTTAATGGTGGTGTCTGTACAGCATGTGATGTCAAGACAGGAAGAACAAATACACACACAAGGAGACAAGGCTATCAGAGAACAGGTTGTGAGTGAATAAAGAGTTCACACGGCTTCCACGCTTTACCGGCTACCAGACAGCTTTAGGCCACCTCCTCCTCTGCCTCCTCCTCAAACTCGCCCTCCTCCTCGGCCGTGGCGTCCTGGTACTGCTGGTACTCAGACACCAGGTCGTTCATGTTGCTCTCGGCCTCGGTGAACTCCATCTCGTCCATGCCCTCGCCCGTGTACCAGTGCAGGAAGGCCTTGCGCCGGAACATGGCCGTGAACTGCTCGGAGATGCGCTTGAACAGCTCCTGGATGGCTGTGCTGTTGCCAATGAAGGTGGCGGACATCTTGAGCCCCCGAGGCGGGATGTCGCACACGGCTGTCTTCACGTTGTTGGGGATCCACTCCACAAAGTAGCTGCTGTTCTTGTTCTGCACGTTCAGCATCTGCTCGTCCACCTCCTTCATGGACATGCGGCCCCGGAAGACGGCGGCCACGGTCAGGTAGCGGCCGTGGCGTGGGTCGCAGGCAGCCATCATGTTCTTGGCATCGAACATCTGCTGGGTGAGCTCAGGCACTGTCAGTGCCCGGTACTGCTGGCTACCCCGGCTGGTCAGCGGGGCGAAGCCGGGCATGAAGAAATGCAGGCGGGGGAAAGGGACCATGTTGACAGCCAGCTTTCGCAGGTCAGCATTGAGCTGGCCCGGGAAGCGCAGGCAGGTGGTGACCCCACTCATGGTGGCTGACACCAGGTGGTTGAGGTCACCGTAGGTAGGCGTAGTCAGCTTCAAGGTGCGGAAGCAGATGTCATACAGTGCCTCGTTATCTATGCAATAGGTCTCATCTGTGTTTTCTACAAGTTGGTGGACTGACAGGGTGGCGTTGTAGGGCTCCACCACGGTGTCTGACACCTTGGGTGAGGGCACCACGCTGAAGGTGTTCATGATGCGGTCGGGGTACTCCTCTCGGATCTTGCTGATGAGGAGGGTCCCCATCCCGGACCCAGTCCCCCCACCCAGGGAGTGGGTCAGCTGGAAGCCCTGCAGGCAGTCACAGCTCTCCGCCTCCTTCCTCACAACATCCAGCACGGAGTCAACAAGCTCCGCCCCTTCTGTGTAGTGCCCCTTAGCCCAGTTGTTCCCGGCACCACTCTGACCTGCAAAAGAGGGCAGCTGGTCACTCCTTGGCCGGGCATGTGGTCACCCGTGCCAAAAAGGCCAAATAACGCAAGGTGAGATGACACACAGAACTCACCCTGCAAGTAGAACACACGGGCCCCCAAACTGTTAAGGCAGCATCCTACCCCACTAAAAAACAAGCAGTCAAGCTAAAACAGCTGAACCATCAGCCCAGTGGCTCCCCTGGGAAGCCTCGGCCCATTCCCAAGAGCAGATGACCTGCCACCGGCTCCAACTCGGCCTTCACTGCAGGAAGATTACATCTGTCTGCTCCTCCCCTGTGTGCGGACAGCTGGGCCTTCCCCCTAAAGCCGCTTTAGGAGAGGGGATTGAGTGACCCGAGAAGGGAGGAGAGCGTCCTGGAGCCTAGCTGCTGCGGGGGGGGGGGGACACGGACAGAGTGGATCAGGACCTCGGCTCTGCGGTCCTTAAAGTGGTGACCTTGGCACCCCTTGACCTTTGAGCCGTCCTATCAAGCCGCCACCCAGCCCCATCCGCGGCTCACCGAAGACGAAGTTGTCTGGCCTGAAGATCTGCCCGAAGGGCCCCGAGCGCACAGAGTCCATGGTGCCGGGCTCCAGATCCACGAGCACAGCTCGGGGCACGTACTTGCCACCTGGAGAGCGGGAGAGCGTCAGTCAGCGAGGGGAGGGTCGCGGGGCGGCAGGGGGCGCGAAGGGGCGGGGGTCTCACCGGTGGCCTCGTTGTAGTACACGTTGATCCGCTCCAGCTGCAGATCGCTGTCCCCATGGTAGGTGCCGGTAGGATCGATGCCATGCTCGTCG